AAAACATAAAATGATATAATAAAGATGCATATTTTCTCAAAAATTTTAAAAAGTACATCGTGTGTCATTGTCGTACTGGTACACATCAAATCTGATTACTCGCCGATAATAAATTTGTAGCCATTATACAATTGTAAGATAAAGTATTATGTGGCAATTGCATGTGCAGCATGGCATGTGCAAATTCCGCTAATTCTCACTGAACGAAACCGCCGTTTGGTAAGCTGAACCGCCAACGGAACATATCGCCAATTCGCCATATAGGACTTATTTATCAGGTACGTTTGTATTCCATATCATTATACATTTAAATTTAGTACGTATTGTCATGTAAAATTTATGGTAATCCAGCTTTGCATGCACTTATATTTACTTGTTATGAATACTTGTATATTTTTGCATGAAATTTAGAAAACTATCTGATTAGACCCGATATGTTTCCTATAAATTGCCTTCATAAACTTTCAAGGTTCGTCGGGCAATACTACGGCCACGCCCTTTATGTCGGGCAAAATAGCCCCATAGCCCATTTACACCCAAGTTTTGGTCCTGCTTTTATCGTATTATTCATCCCTGATTATGCATGACTAAATGTCAGTCGAAACGTTGATAATATATGAACATTAAATTGTTTGGTGTTTCCATTGCTTTGTATTTTCGTCCTTGACCAGAGGTCTTTACACAAGTAGTTTTCATGACTGAGCAGTTAGTGCTATTGCGATTATTGTTCGATGACTGCGCTCCTTCCCCCAGCGGCTACGCTCGTGTTCCAAGATCCGCCATGTAAAGTGTAGTGAAATGTATCTCATTGTAATATCAAATCCTAAGAAAACTAAAGCCTCTGCGGAGGAGAGAGGTTCGATGACGCTCTGATAAGCTCAGTGTGAAAAGCATGCGCATACTGTGAACATTTCCGGACTCCTGCCGGGAAGACAATTAAAGACAGGAGTTCACTGGAAAAGCAACCGAAAGTAAAATTTCAATTATTAGAACTTGTTTCCCGTAGTTTTTAGCGTGGTAATAGTTTAAGCAACAATGAATTGTAAATAATTTTATATCAATTGTAAATCATTTGTAATTCAGCCATTTTTTGGCTTCGTGAATTGGAAAGTGACGTTGTAGTTTGTACCGTAGTACAATATATTAGTAAGCAACAATGAACTGTAAATAATGAACTTAATTAGTATTTTATCTTATATCATTTGTAAATCATTAAATAATTCAGCCGTTTTTTGGCGCGATATTTGATCTACCAAATCTTTTTATACGTTTCGATAAAGTGATATTTGCACTATGCTCTTTATAGACCTTTATAGTTAATGCTGTATAACTATTAATTTTTCTTATTTATACTAGACTGTATTTTCACAATAATGAACCACACTATATAAGCCTAGTTGAAATTTGGAACAAGTTGAACAACTCTTTGCTTAGTTGGAACAACCCTTTGCGGCTTTGACTGATCGTCTTTTCTCGACATATCACAACCAATATACCTTTTCCATACATTCTACCAACCAAAATAGGTTAGGTAGCGTAAAGCCTTTGGTTAGGATTCTTAGGCTGTGAAGTTTACTGACGGAAATTACAAAGCAATTTTGACAAAATTTCATATACAAGCTGGTCGATGTTCAAGATAAAATTTTTACCTGGTCCAGGTGCAGTTGCCGTGTTTGCTGCTGTTGGATTTTCTGCCATAATTTCTTTACTACATAGAAAGAAAACGCATTTCATTGCCGCTGAAGCAACTGGGTTGGAGTTTACTGGTTTCATAGAGGAACGCGCACATAAACAGTATATGAACTTACACATCAAAGATTTTCGTCCTTGTATAACATTACCTTGGCTTTGGGGATAGCTTGCAACTAGATTAAACTACTGGCATTTCGAACGAAGGCTCGTCGTTTTTATTCTTATTTTTGTTGATGAATATCAACTTCCATAAAGGCACATTTCATTAATCATTATATCTACACAGCGCTCGCGATGCTAAACCGAGAATCATTTGTTGGCTTAATAATAATAATCCGAATTACAGTTCAGGAACAGAGGAACTATTCGGGCTATTTAAAGTTTTAGTACAACGAGACTAGATTTGTTATATCAAACCTATATATTGTATTTGAGTATTTCCACAATCTACCACCTAGCCTTATAGAGGGTGGTATACGTATTGAGGGGACATACAGTATGATAGTCAATATTGGTTTATCAATAGACGTCAGTCATGATTACAAACTATAAAATACACGTATGATATTGACGAACTATCACTTTTAAAACTCTTTACTTTTACTTTTAACATGTAAATACTTTACCTACTGTGAAAATTGAATTATCCAACACTTTCCTAGGTTCACTATGTATCGTCTGAGTTGTCGAGTGACAATTTGAGAATACAACAACGAGTGGTTTGAGTTTTAACTAGACGAAATTATCCCCTGTTGTTATTAGTGACACGTTACACGGCCCTTCAATTTTTGCAAACATTATTGTGACCGGAACAGCGCGTGCGTACTTGGAAATCTCTGTTTTCTCCAATCTTTGCACAGCAATGTCAACCTCCCCCTCCCTTCTCGTTCAAAGCTGATAAATTGATTAGGTGAAAGCTTTGTGAAATACAATGCCAAAACTAACAATGATACAAATGATCACACGAACAGTACAACCAGTTTAGCTACTAGCTGAGTGACCACGGAATTTTTTCCATGCTTGTAGCCTGTAGGCTGTAGCTACAGTATAGAGGGCTCATTTTTCTCATGTAAACATATGCATGATAACAAGCCATTGGCTAGGATGGAAGACTTTAATGTGTGGATTATTATATACTGTTCATATGCGTTTAGACTATAAAATCCCAGTGAAGTCGTTGAACTTGAAATAAACTTGAAAAGACGATCCTCAATTGAAATGCAAATTTTGGAAAAACCATTGAAGAAAGTGCTTATTTTATTATTTATCTTCAGCTGTCCAACGGCAACGGTACATTTCTTTTCTTCAAATCTGAACAACTGATAGGCAAAAATTAGTATTTTAGGTGACGGATATTGGAGAATCAAAACTTTGAGAGTCAATACAAAATCGATACTTGAAGGAATTAACGTGTTTTCCAGTCATGAAAATAAAGAAATTAGAGCATTTTAGCAACGGTTTATCAAAGCTAAGTTATAGCTATCAAAGCTAAGTATAACATGCAATAATGGTAAATGTCGTGGGTGTTCGTTGTTATATCCCTGACTGTTTGACTGACAAGTAATTTAATTTAATTGCGCATGCAATTAAGATTTGATATTTTCAATGAAGCCATACTGATAATTGACAATTAAATAATTGATTTGAATATCACTGACGACTAAATCCCTATTAACATTCTATTATAGTATTTTTATGACGTGCTACTGTGATGTCACTCAGTGTGAAAAAATATGCACGCTGAGAACGTTCCAGGTTTTCCGGGAAGACAATTAGATCGCACTGGAAAAGTCCAGTGAAACTTTATTTATTAGAAATTGTACATGCTAAACCTTTTTAGAACCTTCAATAAACCGTGAATCGGTGAATGCACCAATGATCGAGGTGAAATATTTGTTTTCCTGTATATTATTTTTCTGTTTCAGCTACAAAATGCGTACAAACAATCGATAATGCCCGACTGAAATTTCGCAAAAATCCTTCACATTATGAAATTGTATTTGTAAATAATCGGTTTAATAGCGATATTTTCTACAAAAATGCAATCTCTTTCCCCGAGCCTGCGATCCTCGGAAACTGAACATGAGGCTCTGGGATAATCCGTTGCCGCACAGTTGTTGCCGGAAGCCAGGAATCCTGGCTAAGCCTAAGATTGAACTGCGCATTCCGTATCAACGCAGATTCCTCCCTAAAAAGGATTATCCTGCAGAGCCTCACGTTCCTAACCGAGGATCCGGCAGGCTCGGGGAACGAGATTGACAAAAATGTTGAAAACGTAAATTAAGTTTATGAATATATTGTGTGTTTCTGTTTCGGTTTATTTGTTTAGTTTCTGCAGTCACAATTCTTGCTATTCTATTCCATTTCCAGTTTATATTTGCTATAGTAATTCAAAATGAATTTCACAAGTCAAAACAGTCTACAGTATGCCCATGCAATATATGTGTGCCATTTTCAGCTCTGAATACTGACTTGAGAGGGTATATTTTGACTTGAGAGGGTATAAACTATAATTAAACTTGTATGAATGATATGTATGTTTTCTGAATGTTGCGTGTTGTTTAATATATCATAGGACGCAGGCTTCACGTTTTCATAAATGTATCATAGTAGCTAGCCTATATAATTTATACTGCTGCGTGACGCAGCAGTATATAGGCTAGCTACTATGATACATTTATGAAAACGTAAAGACCGATCAAGGAGTGCATGAACATCGTTATATTTAATTTATGTTCCATCTGATGCGCACACTTTGTTAGTAACTTAAGATCTATACGTACCTTCGATCAGCTGCAATCGTCTAAGAGCCAAGTTATAGAATACAGTATACTGTAGAGCTAGCTATACTTCACATATCGTTTGACATTTGACAATCGCAACGGGGTATTTTATTCCGCAAGGTATTTTAGTTGAATCAATTTTATAATATTTTTCCCCTTGGCCTTGTGAATAACTTGTAATATGAAATATCATTGCGTTAGGCATTAAAAATAATATTCAACTTCTCCCTCACATCAGTTTTGCTTGTGATTTTTTCGTGCGGGTTGTAACCGAACGCGAGGTCTGTCAGGAGAAATATCGCGCCGAGGTCTTTTTTGTACACAGGGCCGTACGCAGGATTTTTTCGCCAGGGGGAGCAGTAAGGCCCATATGCCGAAAAAAGTCCCAAAATTCCAAAGAACAATTAATAATGACATTCTAAAAATCGTAAATATAGTTTTCTCTGGGGGGGCAGTTGCCCCCCCCCCCCCCCCAAGGCCCTGGAAATTAATGGACCGCTGAAAGTGCTTCTCACCCAATCACAGTTCTCCATTTCACCAGAAGTGATGCTTGCCATATGATAATAGTTTATAATTGCCCGATTTCAGTTTAATTAAAGTCTCTTATCCAGGACATTTTTCAATAGCCATCTAATAGTTATACATCATACTATCATAAACTAATAGGTTAATAATAAAACTACTAACATGCTTAATATTGAACTGAGATCAGGCTCTACTTCAAAAATAGAACCTGACACAAAGTCCCAGGAGTCAATGTCCAATTATATCTCAATTTCAACGACTACTAAATATATCATGAACAATACTATAGCAATTAAAACCAATCAAAAAGATACATCAACATTTCTTTGTCAGATGGATCAATCAAATGAAAAGCCGGATTTTGGCAATGTGGCCGAAATTTCGGGCGAAAGATTATATAAACTGGACTGTGTAGCTCAGTTGGTTAGAGCACTGCACCGAAATCGCAGGTTTGGTTCCTGCCAGAGGGTCTCCAGTTGCATTTTTCGCAGCCGCTCCTGGTTTGGTCTAAAGTTCTATATAATCTTCTGCTCGAAATTACAAAAACCCAATTCAATTGTTATATAGTTCTATTGAGCTGCGTGATGCCCAAAAGTCCTGATTGTATGTTAACTTTATATGTTGCTAAACTATTTTTTATGTCTTATTCAAAAACTCATTAATATTTCATGAGGAAAACACAAAGAGCGTGTCGTATCTTTATATGTGATTGAGATTTCCCTTGATTTATAGAAACTAGTAAGTTCATTGGCGCATTAATTTTCAAAAATTACGTTGTCTAAGTCGAGAAAATCAAAATTAAAGTTTATGTGTATATATCAAGGGAAATCTCTATCACATATAAAGATACGACACGCTTATGATTTTTCTTTGTGTTTTCCTCATGAATTATTAATGAGTTTTTGAAGTACTATTTAAAAAACGAGCAGGAGTGTTTTATTAGCTCAGTTGGTTAGAACACTGCACCGAAATTGCAGGTTTGATTCCTACCAGAGAGTCTACCGTTGCATTTTTCGCAGCCGCTCCTGGTTTGGTCTAAAGTTCTATATAATCTTCTGCTCGAAATTACAAAAACCCAATTCAATTGTTAGTTCTATTGAGACTGCGTGACGGATGCCCAAAGGTCCTGATTGTATGTTAACTTTATATATTGCTAAACTATTTTTTATGTCTTATTCAAAAACTCATTAATATTTCATGAGGAAAACACAAAGAAAAATCATAAGCGTGTCGTATCTTTATATGTGATGGAGATTTCCCTTGATTTATAGAAACTAGTAAGTTCATTGGCGAAGTAATTTTCAAAAATTACGTTGTCTAAGTCGAGAAAATCAAAATTAAAGTTTATGTATATCAAGGGAAATACCTATCACATATAAAGATACGACACGCTTATGATTTTTCTTTGTGTTTTCCTCATGAATTATCAATAAGTTTTTGAACTACTATTTAAAAAACGAGCAGGAGTGTTTTATTAGGCTTAAAGCCACGAGCGCGAGTGGCTTTAGACCTAATAAAACACGACCTGCGAGTTTTTTAAATGGCTTCAAAAACGTTTGCATAAAAAGTCAAATCTAAATATGAAAAATCTTTATATAAAAATCTTTATATAAAAATCTTTATATAGTTTGCATAACAATGGTCTTTTGTTAAAGTGTTCTTTAGCTGGTATAAAGACGTATGCACGTGACTAATTTCTTACTCAAGATTGGATAATTGCTTCATGAATTATTAATGAGTTTTTTAATGTTATTAAACGTTTGATTATGTTCAGTGTTTATTCTTTCAAAAATCCAAAAGAATCGAGCAAGTCGTTGCACAATGAAAATCGAAGAAAGAGGAAAAATAGTTCCTTCCAATAGTCAAGGAACTCTACAGCATACTGCTGACACTCGGCAAGATTGGTCTTGATCAGTTCAAACACAGCCGTTCTTTGCGAATTAACGCCGGAGAAAATCTCGCTGATCATTCCTTCGACAACAGGGCGAATGATTGGAACCCAAGCTCGCAGCACGTTACACGGATTCGCTAAAAACTGCGGGAGGAGATTCGGAAACATCACAGATACAATGGGGGTTCCTTGTTGCAGTATTTGCTCGGCGACATCTCGCTCTGTAGTGTACAAAATGAACTGCATTTCTCGAGTGAGCGTATCACACCAGCTTTCGAGAAGAGGCGCCATCGTCAGAGTATCAACAAAACGTGGCGCTGCATGCTGACGATTTTCATTTGAACGATACACCGGAAAACTGCCTCTTCCGCGAAGTTGAAATCTTTCAAGAGAAACAGCATCAGCGAATACATCTCGTTGCTCTATTCGCTCAAATTTTCCACGACAGTTAGCCAATTTACCAAGAGCATCATCGATACAAACCCACATTTCATCTTTGCAATCTTTGAAATGTAAACACTCCGCTTCAGAGAACTTGAAGATCGCTCGAAAAGCATCGATAAATATTCGAGCTTTCTCTGCTTTAATCTTTCCTACGTGGCACTTGTCACCGCATAGTTCCAACGCTTTTGCGATCAAATGAGAAGAAGCCAGGCGGAATATACGTAGAGCATCATCCACGCGCTCCGTATTGCGGTAGAGAAGACCAAGAAACAAAGCAGC